ATTGTTATAATGTATTGAGAATTTCTTTTGTTTCTGGACGATTGGCAGGATCGCTATTCCAACAACGTTTATAAAGTTCAATATATTGAGGTGGAGTACCTTCTATCGGATCTTCTCTATTTCCTTGGAAAATGTTAACAACAATCATTTCGTTTGTTAAGTGTTGGAATGGAGGCTTTCCACTCGAAATTTCCCAAAGGATTGCTCCAATGCTATAAACGTCCGACATCTTATCACGTTTATATCCTTGCTTAAAAAGGCACTGAGGTTCGACATATACCGGCATTCCACGAACAATCGAATTTGTAGACGTCTCACTTATCTGTTTCGATAGACCAAAATCCGCAATCTTTGGATGTTTTTGGTGAATTAAGATATTCTTCGAATGCTAAATTATGAAATTGTATTAGTGAATTAATAAACACAAAACTAATAAAATTCAGTAAAGTCTATAATAAGTCTATAATATTTACTAGATCTCTATGAATAATATCATTATCATGTAAAAAGAAAAGCCCGAGCGCTATTTTCTTAGCAATGCAAAGTTTATCAGTCCATTGCAATTTTGTAAAATTTGCTTTTAAGTATTCACGTAAATTTCCATCATCAGCATACTGTAAAACCATATTATAATATCCATTGTTATCTATTAATTGTAATTAATATTCTTAATGATTAATTTATACGAATTCAAGACTGGCAAATTGCATATATACCTTTCGTGACACCATAGAATTTAATAATATTAGGATGGTAACTAACTTTTAATAATAACTTAAGCTTTTATATCATGGTTATAAAAATTTAGTATTACATCAGAAAACAATACAAATCGTAATGTAAATACCTCTTTAATAAAATCTTTAATAAATTTCTCATTTAAGCCTATATTGTTGTCAATTTTAAGACATTTAAGAGCAACCATTAAATCACAATCTTTCCATTCGTATTTAAAAACATTTCCAAAAGCTCCACTGCCGATGAATATGGGATTTATAAATTTATTATATTTAATATTATTAATATATCCTTCGGAAATAGCATTTTCAAGCCATTTTTCTGGTGCATTTGCCATGATACTTTGTATGCAGAAAAAGTCTGTACGTTCATGCGTACAGACATTTATATTGTACGTACGTACGTACGTACTTAATGACTATGTGATATTGCTACGTGACACAGCATTTGTTTGTCTCAATAGGGTGAATTTCGAGTTCACGTAAAATGAATATAGCGATAGAGCATCATTAGTATAATAGGAAATTCAAATGAAAAAGTAACATATTGACATGACTGTGTAACGTGAAATGAATAATAGGAATAATAGGGTATACGGTTTGTAAAAGAAAAATTTCGTCAAGCCCATGTTACTTTTTGTGTGTAATTATTAATTTATTTAACGGTTCTATATATACTTCTATAATATTTTTGAATTAAAAGCAGCTTATTTCGTAGAGTTTATTGATCACGAATTTCTTCTCTCCGTTGCTTTTTTTTCTTTTCTTTTACTCAGCGACTTTTGTTTATAATGTATTAAAAAAGTCGTTAAGATATAAGAAACATCAAAAACAAAAAAAAAAAAAAAAGATATATGCATAATCCTATAGGAAGTATAAAAGTTCCGTGTTAGCAATAAACATGATCAAATAGTATGGAAGAATAAATAAGAACCGTGGACTGAGTATTTATTTTACTTAACTACTGATTTTAATACGCCAATTAATAAACGTGGCGGTTGAAACTGAGATTGGAGTCTCTATTTAAATCTATTTTACCTACTAAAATCCACTTGTACTCTTTTATTAATAAAACTACCCTAAACCCTAACCTAACACTAAGAAAAAAGCTGATAAAAAAGGCCCAAAAAATTTTAAAATTTAATATTAAAATATTTCAAAACCTCAGCTTCAGCATTCACAATAAATAATCTTTACACTTATCAGCTAAATTAACGTGTATAGAATGATTTTGATGTAAAGGTAAATAATTATTTATTAACTTGAATTGTAAACTTGTTTGCCGATTTTAATTTTACCTGTTAATAAACATTATCCGACAAACTCATATAATCATGGCGCAGCAATGTACTGTTATTTTTTAACGTGTTATGACGTAATGCTGAATATTGAAATTCTGCCAAATAATGTTCATATTGGCAAAATTATTATTTGGGCCAAAAATACTAAAAATTGTTAAGCAAATGCAAATAAATTTAAATTTTATTACTCAAATTGAATCGATTACATTTTTTTTTTGTTTTAATCAATTAAAAATTAAAAGTGTAGTTATTAAAAGTATTTCTACTAAGAAATTTTTCAATAAATTTTTTATGATCGTTCTCTTCAAGAATGTTTAGATCAGATTTGGCCAACACATTGCTTTGGTGTAATTCATTCGAAGCATTGTCTTCCAGAAATACATCAAGATCTTCAAGAGCATTTAACAATGACATTTGTGAATTTTCCTGTCAAAATGAACTTGCATGAACAAAATCACCAACTACCAGACCTACTTTTTGATTGTGACTTTTGGTAGTGCCATGATTCTTGAGAGCAATATTCTTGGAGGTAACATTCTCAAAGGCAACATTCTTGGGGGTAACATTCTCAAGAGCAACATTCTTAGAGGCAACATTCCCAGAGATGACACTGTTTTCATAGATGTTATCTAAAAAATAAAAAACTTTGATCATTAATCTTAATCATCAATTATTAATCAAATGTTTTTAACTATAATAAAAAAAAATTCACCTCCATTTGAAACTTGAGTTAATGCTTCAAAAAATTTATTAAGGCCTTTGTGCTGCATTATAAATTTTAGTCATTCATACGTGACAAGGCCTTTTTGTGACTTGTGCCTTGTTATTGATATTACAACTGCATTGAGTAACTAAGCTCCTTTAATAATTGTACTTTGGTTTTTCTTACTGAGTAATTTGTTATATTACAGGTTTTAATTTCAATGTTTATAATTTTACAAATAATCTTAAAATATTCTTGCAGCTTCTGCTCACCCAGAGCATATTTATAAAACTATTGTCTAGTAAATTTAACTAATAAAATAAAAAAAGTAAGTCAACATGCATGTAAGATCATTCAATAAATACAAAATGTTTACCTGAATTTAGAGAAACTGGTTTCAAATAAAAATTAGTTATAGTTGTAATTGGATGTTTAGTAAAGTAGAACTTATAATTGTCAATGATACTTTTAATATTAGGCAAACTAATAACTTCAGCCTGAGTATTATAATCCTCAAGCCTTCATTGATTCATCTTTGATTTAAACAATTTAACATCAATACCTCTATCAAATTGTTTAATGAAGCTATTAATTTGAAGCCTATAGTGTTCACCTCCACGTAATACCAATAAAATCATATTATAAAAAAATCCATTGTAATAGACCTTCTGATATATTTCTTTACATTGTAGGGTGTTCAAAAATCTGGTCAACTTTATTTAACATTAGTCTATTTGTCCTGTTTTTTTTCACCAACCCCATTGCTAAAAGAGTTTTTAACTTTCTATTAATGACTTGGTTTAAGTTGAAGTACACCTTGGGATTAAGTATGTCAACCAGTTTTTTCATAATCAAACATGTATTAAGGTGCTGCCAAATAGCGGCCAAGCAACTCCTTATCAATGTTGTATGATATTCCTCACCATCCTGTCATTTCATTGCAAATATAAACTTGAACAACTGGTATTCCAAGACCTTCTTTGAGTCAACTTCTTCGATTTTTCTTCATATTCAACATCAGAGTGAAACTCCTCCAAAACCTTAATCTATAATTTCATTGCTTTATATGTAGCTTTAACTTTCGCATTCTCTCGCATTGTCTGTAATTCTTTCACAGATGGTTCTGTGTACTTGATTCACTTTGCATTATTTGCATTGAATGGTGTGACATTCATTTTTGGCATTATAAAGATTTCAACAATTTTTTTTTTTGGTTTTAGAACCTTCTTACAACCCCTTAATTTCAGATGACCAATGACCCAACAACTTCAGATGAACAGCGACTCTTCAACTACATACAACCAGCAACCACAAGCTTTAAGTGGCCTTGCACTTCCAACAACAAAGGCATTTCAACAAGAAATTAAAAGGTGTGACAAGGTATTTCTAGGATATTTTTTTAAAAAATTTTTTTTTCATTTAAAAAAAAAGAGATTTAAATACTACTGATCTACCATCTTTTTTCTGGATCTAAAATTGTATTTATAATGCGGGTAGGATCGGCCATGATCATAAATTATCGGATAACACCATTATTGGGCAAATTGTTGAATAATGTATACATCTTTGTACTTACCAGTTCAATTCATGCGAATTTACTGATCTGTACGTAATGATAAGTATTTATAATATTGATTTGTGAATTTGCTTGATAGATTTTAATTTTGCTGATTAATAAATGATGAGAATGAAGCGATTTATATGTAGTGATAAGTAGGCATTTCTTATGAACTTGTTTTGATGATTTTAGTTCCACCGATTAATAAATAATTTTTATACTCACCATCTAAATTAATGCAATTGAAGTGATTTGTAATGTTGAGTATTTATCTTGTGAATTTGCTTTGCCTACTTTAATTTTACTGATTAATATGATTTTATTCTTACCGACTAAATTAATTCGACGAAAAATTTGTAAAATAAATTTATAAAAAAATTTTTTTTATGATCAACACACAATATTCTAGTTCTCTATTCTAAGTACAGTAAAACATCTATAAACTCTCTATAAGCGCACATTCTTTCTAAATGCACACTTAAATTCTGACCCAAATATATTATAAATACACAGTTTCTTATTGTTCTCTAAATACACATAGTTAAAGAGGTCTTACTTAGAGTTCTGCGTGTTCCCATGCATTAATGCATATGGCGTGCCTATGCTATAGGCACAAAAGTGCCAGTTTTAAAAAGTACCAGGCAATTAGTGCCATGCCTAAAAAAGGCAAAATACTTGGTTACCTATGTCTATAATGTGCCTGAAACTTTTAGGTCTGGCTACGTGTCTAAAAACGAAATGTTCGTAGGTACATAAGGCCGTTCGAAGTTAATTTTTCGGTTAACATCACCCCTCCCCCCTCAGCTGAAGCCTCCCCCACCTCCCCTTC